GTTTCAAATCTTTTATTTATTTTAGTTTCAAAATGTGTTTTTAAATTTCAAAAATGGGTTTTTTAAACAAACTTTTATGGCACCAGTTTAGCTCCACAGTTCAAAACGGGCTGCTGCCTTGCAAATGCCTGCAGCCCAGAGATGGCACCATGATCTCAGAAGTCAACTATGATGGGCCGTGGTCCGACCTCAGACAACAGCCCCATATCAAACTGTCCTGGCAGGTTTATGCTGTGAGTCGTGCACTCGTGGCTGCCAAGTTTCCTGTTGGGATCACATTCTGCATTTGTTTCATCAGGGAGGCTGGGCGCTGTGTTACAGCAGCGGTCCCAAACTCTCTCCTTGGGTCAGGGCTCTGCTAGAAACAATAATACCGGAGAGATGAGCATAAATCTGGGACAGATTCTGGTAAATGGAAAGATTTAGAGTTGCCGTCCTGCTGGGGAACCAAAAAAAAATCCTATTTCAATGCCTGTGTTTGGAAATGCTCTTCAATAAAACCTCTTGTGTGGTGCTCTGAGGTGCTGGAGATGAGAAACAGATGTTACCCACATTACAAGATTATGGTTTCTGCGCTCACTTTGGGTGAGATTTCACGTGGAGTCAGAAGCTGTTCCGACCCCCGGAGACAGGAGCTATTCTGCAGCAAGTGTTTACATAACCGAGCCAGCCGCTGCCTGTCCTTATGTGGTCATGTGCTTCAAGCAGAGCTATCCAGGAAAATACAGACCTCTGAGGAGAACGGAGCCAAGAGGRGAGCCAAGAAGAGCTTTGCCAGTCCCTCGGATCTCTGCCTCAACAACAGGGAGATCCTCGATCAGGCCAGCAGGGATGATCTTTGATCACACAGCCTGCTTGTGATATGAACCAAACTTTGCTCAAGTTGAAGGATTCTTAAAATGGTTCACTGTTWGAAAAAAAAAGAAAGAAAGGAATTCCGGAGAAATTTTGATTGGACCCTGAGGGGATTAAAGGAACTAATTTTAAAGTTAAGGAATGAGTCATTGAACTTTAAAGCAMAGCATGTTTATACTGAAGCTAAAACTAAAACAGAACCAAAACTCTCCTTCTGATAAAAGCACTCGTCCTGTTGTTTGTTAATGTTAGAAGAGACACATGTATTGCTGCAAACTATCCAAGGCAGAGCAGATGGTGGAGAAGATGAGCAACAATTAAACACATCTGCYAGGTCTAACGTCATACACCCTGGTCATCCATGTAAGCTCATACAGTGAACAACACCACTAAGTTCAGTTGATTTAACATTATACGACTCTTCACCTCCTTTCTCTCTGTCCGTCACARCATCACTTTCTCCKACTGCAGMTGGAAAATCTGAGCTGTTCCCTCCCACCAAAGGGAAATACCACTTCATCCAGARCCATAAAAGACATTTCCTTCGCTTTCACTCACCTTCGCTCACATCAGCCATTCCTTCATCTCTTTTAACTCTTCACAGTTACTCAGAAGAACAACCTTGCAGCTGAGAYCATCCTCTTTTTTTTAAACAGCAGCAAAGGAAGATCACAGATTGTCTTCTGTGACCCAAAACACTTGCAAGTTGAACTGCTAGTGTTGACAACAAACAGGTCTCTGAACTCAAAGAGAAGTCAAAAAGACTTTGAACCTAGCATGTGCAATAATCCACAAAAAGCTTGAAGCCATACATTTCCAACTACCGTATGATGGAAAGGTTTGAAGTCAGACAGACAACAAACAAAAGCCAAATTTCAGCCTGCTTGTTCAGTGAATGTTTATAGCTGTTTATGGTGGTAAAAGTTTGCCAATTGCATAGCGTCAGCTACTATTGCAAACATGTTCCTGGTTATTAGATGTTCACAGGCACTGAAACAAACTTAGAACCAAACTCATATTTTTTGCTTATTTTTTTACTGCCCTGCAGCTTTGGAAAAAACTACTAACAAAAACTCTAATTAGTCAGAAAAAACATGCAGCTTGATCCAGAATGGGAGCCAACAATTTTTGGTTGAAAGTTACAAAAAAGAAGAAGAAATCTTCTCTTATCAAACAAGACTTTTTTGAAACAAATGAGAAAAAAATAGTACATCACTGTTGAAACCTTTTTCACAGTTTAAATAGGCCACAGGAATTTAGACTTTACATGACTAAACTGGTGTTTTGACATCTGTAAAAGGTTTTTACAGTTTAACTTTTAGGATTTTTAATCTTTTTTTCTTTTTTATCTTCCACAGAACAATCAACTGGCAGTTGTGGATGTCACACACACACACACACACACACACACACACACACACACACACACA